AGTACAGGTGTAAAGATTTTAAGAAGCTGTTTAAATTTTAACAATGTGCTTTTAGTTTTGTAACGCATTGATGTTTATCTTTTTACTATAACTTCATTAAATATCAGGAAATGTAATACTTCTATTCCACCTATGAAAAACAAGAACATGGATTTTAAAGAGAAGGACATTTCTGTACTCGAGCCACACTTGACACATGACACAAGCAACACGTAAATGAAAAAGAAACATGTACAAGGGAAGGAGGCAGGAAGCTCTTTTAATAGACACGTCTTTTGCACGTCACAAAACCACAATGTTGCACAGAAACACTGACACACAAACACAGAAAATAACAACAAGAAACAAACTGTGTGCAGCTCTGGCTAAAGGTCAGACTCAACCAGACTCCTTCAAGATTCTGTTTCAAGCACATAGCAGACGTTAAAACCCTCGGAGAGGACTCCCTCATTTAGATCTCCTATTTGCAGAAACAGAAGCTGCAGAAGTTTTTAGTATTTCMATAAGCTGCTCCTCATCAGTGTTTTGATTTCAACATTAACAAATAGTTTGTGAACACTCATAAAGCTGTTATAATAATAGTGTGTTACTTATCTGTAAATGCATTTAAGATAAATAAATAAATAAATAAATATTAAATAGAAATCATTTTTTCTGAACCATAAATATGTGAATAGACAGATGGGGGTGGGGGGCATCATTATAAAATCCTAAATGTGACGTAAACACTGCAGACAAGTTAACACATATGAAAATGCAGAAGCTGACAGTGATGGGCTCAAATTTCAGTGGGTTACATTTTTCCACGGAGTCCACTGACTCCAGGGTGAGAGGACCACCGAGTCCCTGGAGCGAACCCTCAGCTTGCTGATCCCCCTCGGTATCAGAGTGGACAGAGACCGCCGTTTCTAAAGTCGGAAGAGATCCCACAGTCAGAAAGCAGAGCAGACATCATGACAGACGTGTGAGAGGTCCGATACGTACGCTGCCATCATCCCTGAACACGTATTCGATCTCGTGCTCCAGGCTGAAGAAGCTGTGAGGAGTGGACCAGCTGGACGGAGGATCGATGGTCACGTTCAGTTCCTGGTCCACTTCCTGACACCGGACGATGTGGGGACTATCGGGGACAACTGGAACAGCAGAGACACGGTGCTGACTGTGACAGTGACGGGAGTTATATGTGGGAAAACGGAGGCCATGATTTGTTTCTCACCAATGTCTCGGAGATAAAACTTCTTGTTTTCACTGAGGAAGTAGAAGTTGCTGTTGGTGGCCTCGGCAGTCACCTCCAGCTTGGTGCTTTCCTCTGCGTACGGTGAGAGGGTGTGGGACAGAACGAACTGGGACCCCTCGCTCCGGACGTCACTGCTGCTCACCCAGTGACACGACTCCTGGTGTGTGGCGCTATACAAAAAGGTTTTCAGTGACATATTCCACTCAGAAACAAACATTAAAACTTTCACTTCTGCATACTTTTTGCTATTTTAGCCTTTATTAAAATGTTGGTCTTATTAGAAGAATTAAAACTATAAAATGTTGTTTTAGTAACTTTTATATTAATCAAAATATTTATTTATTTATTTATGTTTTTTCTATTTGTTTGATTCTAAAGTATTCTTCAAAATTTGATTTAGCATACTTGGTCTGTTTTTGTCCTTTTATGGTATAAACAGCATTTATTATAGCCTTTTGGTAACAGTTAGCTACTTCGTTATTTCTCATATTTTCATTTGTCTTGTGTTACTTTTATTTTTAGTATTTAGACAGATTTTTGCTAATTTTAGTAGTTAGCTCTTTTACTACGTAAGCTTTTAGCTATAGCTGTTGCCAATTAAAGCAATATTAAGCCTCTGTCACACTATAAGGTTTTAGACAACTTATGCCAACTTATTAAATTATTTTCAACTTAATTTCTAATAAAACTTGTAGATGTTTGATGAATTTGTTAGCACTACAGTACATGCATAAAAGAGGCTTCCAGTTGATTTTTTTAAATTTAATCTCCAACATAGAAGTCTCCAAAATTRGCATAAGTTGTCTAAAATGTTACAGTGTGAYAGGGCCTTTAGACTTTTGCAAATGTTAACATTTTGCTGTAGATTAAGGTTTTAGCTAATATAGAGCTACAACTTTTTAGCTGTTTGCTACTTTTAGCTTGTGTGCTAGCCTGGTTAAAAACCAGAACCTTGTCCTTCGCTTTGCTTCATACGGGCAGTGAAGGGACACTAGACTTGAGTGGAACTGCGGTCCAGGCTACTTGTGTTACAGCTTTTACCAAATGTTCTGTTTGAACTTGAGCTTGTTCAGCAGATTTTAGCAGTCGTTCAGCCCTCAGCACTCATGCTGCATTTTGTCAGAAAATTCCACTCCCTAGTTATTTTTCGAGTGTGTTTCTTACCATTCTTGGCCAACTCCAAGACGCACAGCGGTGTAATGGCTGTTGTTCCAGCTGCAGGTGAAGTCACAATCGTAAGACTTTGCTCGACAACTGAGGAAAGAGTCTGAAAAGAGACACGATGAATACAAGTGTATTTAGAACCCAAAGAGAAAAAGTTTGTGTAAGGTTTTTAATTTAGCATTGATTCATAAAAAGGTGCTTGTAGTTACTTGGATTAGTTACGATAGATTATTCACTCAAGGTTTTCAGCTTTGAAGCTTTGAAAATATTTGCTGTCTAAATACAAGCAATTTCTGAAGATGGCTTCACCTGTTTTCTAACTTTCCTTACCTTTCTGTTCCTTATCATTCTGATCCCCAGCCTTCTGTTCTTCAGCCTCCTGCAGCAGAAAGGTTGAGGATAACTTCTCCTCGCCTGTCCAGCAGCTGTACTCTCCCAGCAAGGGTGCGTCTATCTCTGACACGATCAGATTTTTACCATCGCTCTTATAGTGGTCGAGGTCCTCGAAATCGACGTCCTCGTCGTTCAGCTTCCACACGACGGTCCCTTCGCTGGCCTCCCTGCAGGTCAGCGTGACCGGGCCGTTGTCGTTCCTTTTTGCAATCACAACTGGACAGAGCAGAAAGGWAATTCAAATCGACGCGTGCCTAAGCACACTGTGCCAAAAACAACTGAAGCTAATGAATGGACCTACAGTTTTCTGGGAAGTGGCTGAGTCCATGTGCTCCAGTTAGGCTGATCAACAGAAGTCCAGTGAGCCACGGTGATAAACTCATCTGAAAGAAGAAAACGATRATCAACTTTTACTTGCTTGAAATCTTCAGCTCATGATTAAATTTGAAGTCATTTTAGTAAACAGGAAGACCTTTGGTTGTATAAAGTTTAATTACATGATCAGATTATGAGCAAAATTTTTAAAAAATACTAAAAACACGCCTCTGTTATTTAAAATGGCCTCTTACCATTTTGGTCGGAGTTACGCTGCTCTGAGGCTGCGGAAAGGCAAACAGGAGATAAAGATCTGTGAGCTAACTCTCCGCTGAGCTTGATTTTTATAGAGAACATCATCAACACTCAGCCAGCCCCCTAGTAGCACCTCGGGAGGTGTGAATGAAACTGACCAGCGATGATTCACTGATAAGAACCACAGCGGTGGTGGCAGGCTGCATTTCCTCCAGTCTGATTTGAATGACAAATTTTATTTTTAAAAACAAGGAAACTGTGAGTTTCGAACAAGGCAGTGAGAGATAAGGAATGTGGGTGTTGAGTGAGGGCGGGGGGTGCCCGCTGACATTTATTCAGCCCTTGTGATGATGAAGCATTTCAGACACACTGGACTGTATGTCTACAAAAACATGACACACACACACACACACACACACACACACACACACACACACACACACAGTTGGTATTTCTGTCCCTATTAGGACCGCTCATTGACGCCCATTCATTTCTGTATCTCAACCCTGATTCTTACAAATCCCAGCACATAACTAACGCTAAAGAAAACTCAAATCCCACCTTAGTCCCAACCAAACCGCTAATCCCCCAAAAATAATGTTCAACTATGTTAGGACCAGTCTTTGATCTCAAAAAATACTACTGGTCCAAACAAGGTACTGTTTGTACCAGAAAAGGTCTTAAAAAACATAGACACAATTTAATCTAAAATGTGTACAATAATGAAATATTTCATAAAAATTGATATATTCCGATGATAAATGATATTTGTTAACAACTGGTTCACAAATACTATTAAATGCAGAGGTCTTTAAAGTACTTTAAAAAAGAATAACTAAGTAAAATTAAAAATACCTCAACAGAAAATTATTTAGGTAAAGATCAATTTTACTGATGAGAAAAGTACTTAAGTAAAAGTTATAAAACGGTTCATAAAAATCCGGAAAGTAAAAGTACTTTTAC